TCGCAGCTTTTAAGCTTTCCAAGCTTTTTTTAGCTCAAGACTTCCAAGCCAGTAGCTTTCACGGTTTTCAAGTTCCTGTGTCTTTCAAGCTTTCCAAGCTTTCAAGTCTGTATAGTTCGCAACTTCTTTAACGAGCTTACAGCTTTTGTCATTTCATAGCCTTCCAAGCCTTTTTAGCTCTCAAGCTTTCCAAGCTCATGCAGCTTTCAAGCTTTCTAAGCTTTTGAATTTTTCAACTTGTCATACAAATAGTTTGTAAGATTTTTATAACCTTCATGCTTTTAAAGTTTTGCATTTTTCGAGCTTCTAAAGCTTTTCGGCTATCTACTTTTAAAATTTTATATCATCTTTTTGCTATTTTCTATTAGAAGTTTTTAATAAATATTAATTGCGAGCCAAACTACTGTAGTACCGTCACTTGAGTTGTTTGTTGAGAGTAAAGTGGCCAACCAGCCATATGCTGTATATCGTCTACCAGTAAACTTCCTCAAGTTGTATAAATGTATTCAACGTTAAACATGTTTGTGTGCATGTTTCGATTGTGCATACAGACACCATATAAATGTACGTAATTTTAATCATAGTCATCCTTGTTGGTTGTGTCGTTCTTTCGTAATTGTTGTTGTATAAGTATTTACCCCATTTTTTTTTTAACACACATACAAAATTTTTTTCTCTCCACATTTTTCTTCTTCTGCTTAATTTTTTTTTTTTCCTTTTACGACTTGGAGCAGCAGCAGCAGATGTAGTTATCGCCAGCGCAGCGACAGCACGCTCCATTTTTAAAAATTTTGCAGAGCGAATTTTTTTTTTTTTTTTTGTTTTTGTTGCTGTTGTTTTTGGTTTTGAATTATCCACCTCCTTGACCTCCATGCCAAACAGCGTCGTTACATCTTTATAGATTTGAAGTAATCGTTGTTTGTGTGTAGAGTGTAGACGTTGAATATGCTATTATACCGATTGTGTGTGTGCGTGTGTATGTGTGTGTGTGTGTGTGTGTGTGCGGTGAAGTAATAGTTGTGCGGCGATGTTCATAACTTTGAAGGTGTGTGCATGCATATATAAATAAATACGTATATATATATATATATATATATATATATATATACATGCTTGCATACACTGTGTACAGTGAATTTAGTTCTCAATTTACGTCTGCTCTGAGCCTTGTGTGTGGATTTTTTCGCTCTTGTTGTTCGTCTTCTGCTTCTTCGGTTACCACGCTAAAGAGATAGTATTTCAAACTTGCTTTAGGTTTTATTGTGTATAGTGTGTAGTGAGTAAAGTTGTTATATACGGTTTTTCTTTTCTTGTGTTTTGATTTTAGTTTATGTGCATTTTTTTGTTTTTGTGTTTTTTTCCGTGTTATTCTTAACCACATACGCGAATTTCTTTGCCAACTTTGACTTTTAATACTCTCCCGGCGTTTTCCCGGCGACCAGCGCGCAACTATCTTAGTAACACTAGTAGAAAGAATAAAAATTTAGAAAAATATCTGTTAAGAGAATCAAAGCGATTTCGCTATTCGCGTATAGCAGCTCCGTTTGATAATCATGTCGTGTTTTATTTTGTCGTTTCGCTTTAATAAAAAAAAAAAAACAAAGATGATGAAATGGTTCCTGTGTCATGAAGAATGAGTCTTCTTTTATGACGGCAATTGAAACACCACAGGCTTCTGCAACCAAAATGTCTGTGCGTAAAATTAGTGGTTTCATGTGTGCTTATGCATATATATGTATATATATATACATGTATTTTTATATATGTATATATGTTTGAATAAATATACGTATCTAAATTTATTTTGATTTTTGAAATGCGTTCTACTATATATGTATTATGTATTTACTACTGCAAAATTTTCCAATCAAACAAATGCTTGTGTAATACCGAGAAAAAAAAAAAAAAAAATTTTTTTTTTCTTTTTTTTTTGTTTGTTAATTCATTATAACTTTGCGGCGGCAGTTGTTGTTTGTGTTGTAGAAATTTTTTGAGAAGTTTGAGGGAGTTATTTGTGTTGTTGGTTTCGTGTGCGACAGCTGCCTTTGGCTTTGCTAGCTTAGATAGCCGGACTTTGGAATAGCATTTTGCCAACTGCTATCGTTTTGTGTTTAGAAGTCATGTGTGCGAACTGGTTTTCCTTCTTAGTGTTATATTGTTTGCTCTTGTTTGCCTCTCTTTTATAAATGTTTGTTAGGTATGCGGGAGTTATTATAAAATTATGTGGGTTTTATGTTGAATTTATCAAAAGCGAGAGAAAAAGGAAAAATAAGTGGAATTTTTTTTTTTTTTCTTTTTTTAATAGGAAAAATAACATTTTTATAATGAAAAACACCGGGAGAATACCCTATAAATGTTATTTAATAAGATACTTCGATAATTTAGTTGCAATCGTTACTCGAAACGAGAGCTTAGAGACAGGTCTTTTGATTTCTTAACGGACGGATGTTGGATAGAGGGAAAAAGCTGAATAATAATATTAAAAAATCTCACCATAGTGTTGCTAGCAATGGTAGATTGCAAAGTGCTATATGCCTTTAAGATGTGAATTTGCATGCAGTGGTATTCATTACTGTCAAAAAAGTATCGGGAATTTTCATTTAGACTGCAGGGTTAATATGCAAATATTTCGTTGCAATGTTTATTGGTGTAAAAAAAGTATCGGGAATTTTCAATAACACGGCAGCCGTTATCATCAAAATATTTTTCCTCAGTAATAATTCAATAAGAATTCAACGATATTCACATAAATCCCATCAAAAAGTTAGTGGGAATTTTCATAAAAAAATGTATAAATTTTTTTTTTGTTAATTTCCAGACTTATATATCACAAGTTGATGAAGTAATCGATTAATAGTAATACTTAGGGGTATATTCTAGCGATCGGTCACACCAGCCCCGCATTAGTTTGCAATAATTTTGGTATTCCGAGGAAATAGTTATAAGGAAACTCTACAATTTTATTTTTTTTATTATAAAGCAGGGTTGTTAAAACCCGTGAACTACATAGAAAGAAATCTCTGGAGACTTGTGATACTTCTGCGGTGGTTGTTGCTCAACATACGGCTATTAATCGCGCAATACTTTTCATGCTCTGTTGCTAAGCTTAGTTTCCGTGATCGCCTTGAGTTTGTTTTCCTAGCTTTGCGAATTCGCGGGACAGCGAAGTGAACTTAGGTGTAGGCAATAGAAATATTGGTATGAACTGTACATAGGTTGATCAGAAACTCCTTAAAAAATAAAAGAATACTAAAATTAACTTTCTTCTGAAAGAGATTAACCCCTAATCGGTTTCATGCCGTTTCGATCCTTAAACTTAACGCTTTGCGTTTTTATGTCGAATGTATCTTGAGTTTTTTTATTATTTACATCAACTTGCAAATCGAGCTTAAGTCGACATTTTTGAATGTTATTCTTGTTCTTCTCAAACACTAAATATGTTGTATTTCGAGTATTTCGGTCGTAGTTATAGTGAGTGCGCAATTGGTAAAGGCATAATACTTATAACTTCTAGGCCCTTTCCATATCTCATTATTTCCGAAGGTCAACGGGGACAATCGCCTGAGTGATTGTTTATAACTAAAATAGGTTAGAATTTATTATATTCCGCCTTTCGAGGAAAGTCCCCGGATTCACGCACGTATTAATTAGGGAGTTAGTAGTACGTAAATACAATGAAGGAAAAATTAGGTGTGCAAAGGGGGACGCTTCACTATTTTCTTGGGTTGGATAAATTTTCCTTCAATGGATCTTCGTCAGGTTTAACTCGCATTTAGCATGCTCTTGAGCTTCTTCAAGCCAATAAGCTCGTGGAAGCCTTTGTATCAGTCGTTGACTTTGCTTTCGGTCGATTAGCACTTTTCATCGATGTCGCTCCACATCTTTCATTGGAAGTACAGATTGTGATGCAAATTATTCGGTGTTTTTATTTACAGCAAAAAACGAAAACCCCATTGGATGGGTGCATCCTACCCATACAGCAGATGTAAACAAATTTACTGCTAAGCCTGAAAAATAAGTACATTTTTAAAAACAAATACGCAACAAGTATTTCTTTTTTCTTAAGCAGGCGTTGCCCATACTTGCATTGGTCGAAAATATTCCCGGTACTTTTTTAACAGATGACACGCTCGAATAAGTAACGCTCTTTATATTGCTTGTGCAATGAAATTATTATTATTTGCTTGTTTAACCTCAAATAAAAAAAAAAAACAAGGAAGAGCAGCTGGCTCTGCTATTGTTTTACACGTAAGTGTATTACATTTTATAAAAATCGCTTATTGAATATAACCGAACTTTAATCAATCACTGCACAGTAGTACCAAAAGCAATAGTATTTGCATTTAATATTTTTTCTTCTCATTTTTTTCTTATGTCCTTTCATTCATATTCTACAGTACGTCTTCATGCCATCACCATCGCTTTAGCAACAACCTTCACTTCATTACCATTGTTATTAGATTCAGTTATGTTAGCGTTTTAACCGTTCAAGTCTGTGTAATGGTCATCAAAAACTCCTCCGGACTGTCTGATTGTTTGTTTTGTATTTTTGTCATTTTTCGTTTTTGTTGTTTATATACATTTTTTTTTTTGTATTTTTCTTCGAATATTTTCTCCATTCGCTTAATATTTCTCTCTGTTAATCCGTGGATTTCGTAATGCTGCCGTTGTTGTTGTTGTTATTTTAACAATACCTTGAGAGTGAGTGGCGACTTCTAGTCACATACATGAACGTAATGTTGTCGTTTATGTTGGAGATTTTTTTCTGTAGAATTTTTCTCCATTTTTCTGCATTTTTTCAGTGGTTTCTTTCCCTTTTTTTTTATATTTTTATTTCAATTTTTTTTTCCAATTTTTCTGTTGTAAGGTTTCTTCTTTGAGTTAAGTAAGGGTTGGTTGTCAAGTCGCCTATCCAAGCACATAGAGCATATTTAAATGCTACTTACGTCGTCTAATTCCCCTTTTACTCACACCTTCGACAACCAGCCGTCAAGTCAAGCCAAGCCAAGCCAAGCCGGTTACGCTATGCGATGTCATTTATAGCAAACATATGATATGCTATCATCACCGCCATCCCATCCATCCATTTATACGTACGTACACCCAACCATCTATTCATTTCTTTCTCATCATCAATGCGCCTCCCGCCCTTTACCTTAAACATCTTTAGAATTTTCCGAATCGTTCACTAGATGGGAGAGAGAAAGCCTTCTTATGGCAAAAGTTTACTATTTTGTTTTTTTTTTTTTTTTCTTCTCTTCTTTCAAAAATTTTTATTTTCTGTGCAGAAAAATTTTTTTCTTACCCATACATATACTCATAGGTGTAAGCATGCATGCATATGTATTATGGTTGCTGCCGCTGTCGTGGTTCTTGTTCTTGTTGTTGTTGCAATTTTTTTCCAGATATAAATCGTATTCTTTTCTCGTCAATTTTTTCGCGTTGTGTTAGAGTGAGAAAGCTTTAGCTGATAGTCGGGCTTGAGTTTAATTCTTTTCTTTCTTTCTTTCTTTTTTTTCCCTTTAGTTCGCCTCGGTATGTTACTGTTGTTGTTCTTATGGCAAACCGACTTTTTTTTTCCTCTCTGAGTTAATTCATTTCGTTGTTGTTGTAACATTTTTATTGTTTTTTTTTTTCTTATTTTGCCTGACCAAAGGAAACTCATTTCGTAAAAAGAGTCAGTCGCAAGAGTCGAAGAAGAAGAAGAAATGAATCTGTAGTTATATATACATATATACATATGTATATGTGTGGCTATCGCGTCATCATCAACATTGATCCAATAAAGCAAGTACACTACACTTGGTCTTGGGTTTCTGGCCATTATCGCCGTCATCGCCGCCGTTGTAGTCCGTTTATAATACTTGTTGTTGGACTCTTATGTCCACTTCTGTGGTAGTATTTTTCTATATATGCGCTTGCAGTGTTGTTGGTGCCTTGCTTGCTTGCTTGCTTGCCTGCTTGTTGTACGCTTTTTCCTTGCTCCCCTTTTTCTTTTCTTCTTCCACTCATCCATACTTTGCTGGTTTGGCACAGAGCACACAGAACACAAAACTCTTATTATGTATAATATCTTGTGTGCATATACAACAACACGAAGCAAACATTGTACATTCATATCTACACACAAATTGCTGTAGGTACGTGTTGTTGTTTTCTGTGGCATGCGAAAAAAAGGGCGCAGTATTTTTTTCCAATTCTTTTTTTTTTTCTGTTCTTTTAATCGTTAAGGTTTTATACAGTGGGCCGGCGATCATTCAAATCGTATCGTTTTCTCTTTATGATTAAAATAAAAAATCAAAAACGAGCTCTTTGCGGTGTTTGCTTTGCTTCGCTTATTAATTTACTACATAGGCGTGCTTCAGCTTTATTGGAGGACCGAATTGTTGCTATTCAATTATTTTTTAGGTTTCATTTTCAGATCATTGTCATATTGGCCAATACAGCGATTGACGTTAATTCTGTCAATCAAATCTTCTTGTTGCGAACCAGGATTTGTTTATAATCGGCCTTAGGCAGGCGGTACAAATATAAAAAGAGAAAAAAAAAGTTATTCGATCCGTGAAAGTAAAGAAGTTCTGGAAAAAGAAAATGTGTCAAGTGTCGTTTAAGCTTAAGGGGATTGTTGAATGAAATTCGAATTTTATTCTTTTCCTAATAACGGCTTGAGGTGGCTGGCAATAGTTGCCATTACTAAATAATGGGCTATAAGCACGATGGTCGCCAAACAGATTGTATGTTTTATAAAAGCAACTCTGTAAATTATGCTGTGGTATAGTCGAGTCGCGACTACCGAGTTCGCTGGTTCGAATGTAAGTATGGAGTGATCATACTTGCTCGTAGTTATAATAAATGCTTAGTCGGCGTCCAACCACTAGGCTGCATCTTCTCTATCTCTGTCTCCACTTCTTTTTGACTATTTTGCAGTAACATGCAGTATCATTAACTTGGAGTAACCCTCAGTACTTCAGTAACTTACTGCTCGCTATAGGACTTTGCTGCTTTCTCTAGTTCCAACGCGTTCAATTTATTGGCGACCGTAGTAAAAATAGTAAGAATAATCATCTGAGTTTCCTTTTTACAATTTTAGTAGTGTAAGTGAGGTCAAACCCACTTGTTTTCGTAAGGAGATAAGCCTAGAAAGCAAGAACTCAATGCTCAGCAAAATATCTCCATCCTCATGAGTTAGACGTTCTTGCTCACTAAGGCTCCGTTCTTACATAGAAGGTACCAAAATTATATCCTCTGCATAAATCAAGGCATTCTGCGAGTTTTGAAGCCTGTACGCGTATTCTTAGTAACAATATCTCTTTCCCGCCTAAACTTTGGAAATCTAATTTTTATGATCAGTTCCGCCTTTAGCAAGTGAATATTTTTCTTTACATTATTATTATTCGCTTTTTTATTTTCTCACTCCATTAGACGGATGAGTTAACTTAAAAAAAGTTACTCACGACATTTATTTACGGTAATAAAAATTTTAAAATTTCTTTATTTTTTATCATAATAAATATTTTATTGCTCAGGTTTCCTATGTTAAGTTTTAGTTTTATTATCAAGCCATTGCTTCTGACCTATGATTAACTTAACTTTTTTAAAGGTTTTTAACATACTTCGCTTTTCAACTCGTAGACTATATCAAGGCACCTATAATGATATCTTCAATTATTTTATATATTTTACAGACTAACTTTTAATTTCTTTAATAGAGAAACACTTCAATGCAACGTAACTCAACGAATTTTTATAATTTATTTATTCTCGATGATCTTTTTTGGGTAAGATTTCTATGCTGCATCTACGCAATATCACGAAGAGTTTACTCAATTTTTGAAGGTTAGATTTTCTTCAGCTTGTTCTTAACGTTTTCCAGTTTTTAGCGAATGGAAAATAATTGGAGTAAAGTTGTAGCACTTCTTCGGTGCTTAATAAATAAATAATTATTAGAGTAAGTTTTCAGTGTTTTTTTGCTTTCCAAGCCAAAAAGCTACCCAGTTGGATCTTTAGTGCTTAATTGAAACTAATTTTGGAAAATTTGTAGTGCTTCAACGTTTGTCGAATTTAAGCCGGGTTCGTTTTTTGTGTTGCAGCAAATCGTATCAGTTTTTGACTGGCTTTGTGCCTGATAAAACCATTGAAATTTTTCAACAAGTTTTCAGTGGTTTTCAGCCTTCAGTACTCTAGTGCTTAATAAATTGAAAGTAATTCGGGTAAGGTTTCAGTGTTCTTCTGCTTTTTAAATTGAAAGCAATTGCGAATAGGCCTTTAGTGTTTAATTTGGAAGTAATTCTAGCAAATCTTCAATGCGGACACGTTGCTTCTATTTCAGTCCTAAATGTATTTAAAGTAGTGGCGATTAGTCTTCAGGTAAATGTAAAGTAAACTCACAAAACTTCGGTGCTATAAAACATATTTAGAATACTTGGAGTAAACATGTAGTGTCTCAAGCCGATTGTAATTTATGATATTGTTACAGTTTAACGATAACCAAACAATTTAATCAAACAACTTTAAAAATGTCAACTTAAAGCCTAAGAATTGCATAAAACATTGGATTGACACTAGAAGTCGTTCCGTAAAAGCTTTTCGAATATATTCAATGCCTCTCGATGTTTTCTTTCAATTACAACGATTTTCAATCTTTTAAAGCATCGTCTAAGCTAGTTTCGTTATTTTTTTACTTTTCTCGATTCACTGTTGTTTTTAATTATACAGAGATTATTAAGAAAGAAAGAGTTCGCAATATATCTTTGCATTTACATATGTAGTCGGAGAATACGAAGATATCGGCCTGCCACTACAGATTACTGAAGAAGCACTTATATATGTTAGCTGAAAAAAAGTTGAAAAGAGTTGCGTCCAAGCGCAAGCTTATAGCAATTTTTTCAGTGTTTGTTGTTTCCAAGTTTCAGCTTTTAGTTCTTTTTATAGTTTATTCGAAAGTGTCTCACCTCCTTACACTATTTAGTAGTATGGCCTTAAGTTGCGAGGCCCTACCAATCAATACTCGTACTAGTGAGGTGTTGTTTTCGTTGTTCTAGTCACATTGGCAATTTTTAATTTCTTTTCAATTTTTTTTCTTTGTTTTTTTTTTCTGCAAAATTTTTACTTATTTTTTTTTGCCGGAAAATTTTTTCTTGTTCATCGTTGTGTACCACCTTTTGAGTTGTAGGTTTTCTGTGATCCGCTGGGTGGTAAATATGGATAACATAGCCGTTTCTTCTTCTTCTTCTGCTTCTTCGTGTTATTGTTGTTCTTGGTGTAATGGATTTCTTCTCCAACTTTTTAACGGGGTTTCTTGGCAATTTTTTCTTGTTCTCTTCTTTTTTTTTTTTTGCTGTCCACTTCTTATACCAACGAGAAATTTCTTCTCCACTTATTTTTACAGCGCAGTCATATGAATATTCGTGCAAATGAAAGAAAATAAAAAAAAAGAAAACAAAAAAAAAAAATAGTCAAAAAAGAAAAAATTGAAAAAAATTTGTTGTATCTTTACATTAGTTGCGCTGGACAATGGTCTTATCATCGGACCAGTGTAAGCGACGACTCTTACTAATGGGCGGGCGGTGTGGTGTAGGAGCGCTCGAGGTATTGGTGCTGCTAGCTTCTGGCTGGTCTTGGCACTGGTTGAGCTTCGACTGTTTTTAACAAGCTGTGCAGTTTTCTGCATTTGTACATAGAGTCCACTCATAGGGTATGTACGTGTGTGTGTTCTTAAGGGATGTTCTCCGAGCAACTTTGTTTCTTTTCTGTTTTTTTTTTTTTTTTTCGTTGTATACCATCTTATGTACTTTGTTGTTATTATTGTGCACAATTTTTTCGCCTTAAAAACATTTTTTCCAATTTCATTTCTGTGGACTTTTTTTTCCATATGATGATTCTTCTTTCTCCCTTTCCACCTGTGCGTACGGCGCTGTGTCTTGAAAGATCTGCACGTATATGACCGAGTGTATGCTTTTTTAGTTGCGTTTGGTATATAAAAAAAAAAATTGTTTTGTTTGCTTTCTTAAGCCTGGAGGCCCACTGTAAGGGGGTCTCTTTGGCAGTTATTTTTTTTTCCAGTTTTCCCTTCTTCTGCCATCTACTACTCATACAGTTCCTTCTCTGCTCAACGACTTTTACTTTGATTTTTTTTTTCTTTGCTCGCTGTTGTTGTTGTTGCAATGTTGTCGTGAATTTTTTCCGTTTTTTTCTTTCGTACTCTTGGATTTTTTTTCATTTCGATTTTTTTCCATTTATTGTTGGATTTTTTTTTTCGGAATTTTTTTTCTTTGGTGTGTTTTTGTTGTCGCCAACGCTCCCCTTGAGCACGTCTTTGCTCCACGGATGAGTGCTGATGAAACTACACGTAAATGCATATAAATGTATATAAATACATATATATATATATATATATAAATATATATATATACATCTACTACTACTCCTTGAATAACTGCCTGAATGGATGACTGGCTGGCTGGCTGGATGGTTGCCTGCTTGCCGCTCGCTTTTGGCGTGCTTACTGCTTTTGCCTTTGCTTGCTAATCGTCGTCGTCATTGTAGTCATTGCTGGTCGCCGTCGTCGTTGTCGTCTTTTCGCATCATCTTTTTTATTTGTAATTCTGTTCATCATCATCGTTCATCGTGTTAGTCGTTGTCTCGGCCCGTCTCTCAATAATAATAATAAAAACATACAAACAATTGTCAGACGGTCGGTAGGTCGCTCATGCGGTGGCTTAACTAAACGTTGCAATATTTTGTTTTGTGCATTAAAAAAAAAAAAACATACTAAAAAAAAGCAAAAAAAAAAAAAAAGGAATAATAAGCAGAAATTTTTGAAAACTAAAAACCTTTCGAACGCGTTACCTAACAATGCTTTCTCAATACGCATTTCGAAAATCGCTTAGAACAAACGCGTGCGTTCGTTAGCTAAATTTTGAAGAATTTCGATGTGTATTGTCAACGTTACGCGTTCGCTGTACTTCAAAACAAGACCGTTTTCGAGTTCTATAAGATATATTTTGTTGTTGTTCTTTTTTTTTTTAAGTTGTTGTTTTAAAATAAAAGTGAATTTATGTGAAATATAAGAAAACGCAAAGAAGAAATCAAAATCGAATGTGCGTTTTTATTATCCCCGTTTCCTTTTCATTCATTTCTCTTCTTTTTTTTTTTTTTTTCTTATTTCTTTTTTATCACAAGTGTGTTGACCTTCTAAGAACTTCTTTGTTATCGTATGCATTATAATCATGCGATGCGAAGATGTCAACCATATGTTTGATTATCGTCAGAAGAATATTGATTGAAGTTAAAAGAAAATAAATTTAGAAAAATTCATTTTATTATCGTAACTTGTTCCAAACACCAAAAAAAAAAACCATTGCCAAATTATCTCAACTCATTTTAAGGTGGATTGAGAAGATTTCTTCTTCTTCTTGATGATCATCGAAATTGCTTAATTAAGGCGGCACATGATCTGTATTGTATATAAATCATATTAAGAAGAAGAAGAATAAGAAGAAGAATGGCAAGTGAAAACAATGATCTAAAAGACTTTATAACGTTTAGGATCCTTACCATGGGAGTATAAGTCTTGTCTAATACGATGAATTAAAAACTTTTTTTTTATTATTATTTTTCAAAAGATTTTCTCTTGATGTTCAAACCTTTCAAATGGTTGTCGTGGCTCACTAGGAGGGACAAGGATTCGGGTATGCGCGTGGTATGGCCGTGGAAAGAATCAATTGTGTCTTGCTTCGAAAATCGAAAGCCTACGCAAGAGATGAACATAAAACGAAAACCATTAGCTGCCTAATGACTGTTTTACGGATATCCCGTTAGTTTGATCTTCCGATAATTTTGAAGCGATCGCCTTTCTCCATGGATTTTCGTTTGTGGGCCAATGTTTTCCCACAATGCTAATAGTATGTTAGCCTTAGTTTTTCCAAATATTCTCGATGGTGATCGACAAATTTTTTAATCTTTTGAAAGCATTTTTTTCGTAGGATTCGAGACCTAGATTTCAGGCATCAATCGGTGATGAAAATTGCTGTTAAGCAATCAACAGGAAAGAATGGAGTCAAATGACGATTGTGTAACGGATTGCAGCATGAATTCAACGCTTCGCAGTGTTTGTTTCGTGAAGATCGTAAAAGCCTATTGCGGGACAGTGTTCATTACTTGATTTTTTTCGGTGTCTAAGGCGATGGAAACGTTACACTACTAAGTCATGATATGTCGTAAGAAATCCTTCTGTGCATTGTCACTGCCAAGCAACTTTATCGCGGACGCTTGGGGTTCATTTATCTTTTTGAGTAAGACGATAGAATCGTCAGATGACCTTAAAGCGTGTATATATAGTGAATTCATTCGCGTTTTATTGTTAAACCTCGTCGAGGACTGCGTAAATTTCTTGCGGGTAGGAACGAAAAGCCACTAAAGTCGCCATAGGTCAGGTCACTGATATCGTCGCAAATTAAAAGAAGTACATCTGCACCCTTTCGTTGAGCTGATAAACCTCATCGTACCATATCGATATACCAGCAGAGTATTTCTTTCCCTGCAATGCTACAACCGTCAAAATATTTACCTAGGGTCGTAATCAGCAATAATATGACTGTATCGTAAGTTACGTCGAGCGATAGTTGCGATAAAAACATCGCGTAAGATTTCTTATTTAAATCATTCTTCTTCATTCTTAAATAATCGATGTTTTCACTGTTAAGGTTTTTTGTTGTTGGTTCGTGCTTAGCTTTAGTACCCAGTCATGGATACTCGATGCAGGTCTATTTTTGACTAATGCAGTTACGTCAACTTTCAACTTGAGAATGTGCTTATCAAACTTTGGTACCTACTAAAACTTTATATCACATAGCGCAACCTGCTTAAAGAGCTTTGGGATACGATAAAGTAGCTTTGTCAATCCAAAGTGGAATAAAATCTCATACATCAGAAGAACTTGGAAGTTCTTATGACCGAAATTATTTCGAATAAATTTCTGCAAATGTATGTTTATACGTTTCTGAGTCAACATTTATTCTCAGACCATCGAGGTGTGACTCATTTCATAATAAAAAGAAGGCAGAAAACTGATATTCACAAAATCATAAGTGATTTATTTATTTTCCTCGTCACTGATATGTTGCGCAGTCGAGAAAACCTGAGATCAAGTTCATTGCTTTTGATCTGACGTTCTCTGGTTTCCTTTGATAAAACTCACCTAAAGAGTTAGCCATCAAGGTGTAAGACTTACTGATAGCAACTCACGTTTGATCTGTGGTTAATTTCACAACTGGAATAGTGGAGTATATGCGAAACTTCTTAGTCCATATGTGACTTGTGTTATTCTTGTTTACGATTTTTTTGATTTTTGAGCAAACGTTTTCTTCTTAAATTCCATACAAACGAGAAGAATAACCGAGTCGATGAAAACTTGACTCCTTTAAAAAAGGAACTGATTTTTTCGCAGCCAAACCCGTAAAGACGCGCAACCACAAAATTTGGAATATATTTAAATGAGTTTGTTTCTGATATGACCGATTAGTCATGCTGCCCTACCACCCCACCATCCCTATTCGCATAATGCAGTGATGGACAGAAAGAAGTGAGAAGTGAAGAAAGAAAGAAATCGAGAGGTTGTGTCCGCAATCTAGCAATTGTGCGCCCAATTGGTCAGTGCTATGCATTTACCGACTTAGTATTCCTTACAGCTACGATAGAGGTAAACTCTACCGCATTGAGATTGCAATCCGTCATCACTAATATCGTAGTCGCGTATACATGGCTACTTACGGGGAATAACTGACTTGTCAGATTTGCGTGAGATGTCGACATGAAACTTTAACTATTGAAGATTTCTTTACGGGGAACTTGATATTGGATTAAGGATAAGGACATGAGTTGAATTATGTTTTAAACCCACTTCGTCGCATCAGTTAGAGCAAACGGTTAGCGCTGGTAGTCCACAAACGAATTCGCCAATATTTGTTAGACATTTGCGAGGTTTTAAAGCGGGAAATGGGAAATCTTCCTAAGGGTTATAAAAGCCTCATTCAGGGCGTTCAATTTAATTTCATAGGCCAACGTTAATGTGTTGATGGAGATTAAGTAGTTAGGTTAATAATTCTGATATTAAGTCACGGGATTAAACAAGGGCACTTTAAGGTTAGTAGCTTGCTCCGAGGTGCCTTTAAAGACATGGTTGCCATGCCATAATAAAAACGACCCAATGCTTCAACTCTTCGGCATTCCCTTAAATAATCCGATTTATATCATACTCTTGTTGCGTCCGCGATGAAGAAATAATCGTAACTCCAAAGGATTATTATAGAGGCGTTAAATACTGCCTGTAAAGTTCAATGCTTTATACGAAATTTACATTTCTGTCTGCGTCTAACGACTTATTCTTGTATTTTTTTATTACTATTATTGTTCTTTAGGGCTCTATGGGGTTTGTTGAAGGGTAAGGCTAAGAAAGAGATAGAATAATATTTATTGGCCTTATCATTCTTCTGAAACAGTCCCCCAAGTACTTTGATCCACAAAGAGGATCAATTGATTGTGACGGAAAGTCAAGCAATACAGTTTTAATACCAATTAAACGTATGCCAGATGCGCTGGTCTAAGAATAAGAAAGAATTGACATAAACTTTTGAAATTTTTTATAATTAAAATCTGCGCTTAGCTTTGAAACATTTTCGAAAGTCATGCATTATTCTGATGGCAGTTTTCTTTCATTACCATCATCTTCTTATTCAACTTTTGGAAAAGCAGGTGAGGAGAAA